TGTGTGTGTGTGTGTGTGTGTGTGAGGCTGTTTGCTAATGGTTAAAACAACAACATGTTCTGCTGCCTCCTAATTCAATAGCTGGAGCAAACAGCAGAACCCGACAGGCTCGGATCATCTCATTGTGGGTCTGGTTCTGTTCTCTTTAAAGCAACACAAATACAAACACAACTGACCACAGACAAACACCCAGCAGGTCAGAAAAACAAAACATTTCATCTGAAATAGAGAAAACCAGATTGAGATGAAGTGACCAACCTGCAGCAGTGATCCACAGAGCAGTGAGCTCACAGCACTGATGACAAACAAACAAACAAACAAACAAACAAACAAACAAACAAACAAAGTCTCATTCAGTGAAACAAAGAGAAAAAGGCTGAATGAGGAGCCTCACCAGGTGAACAGGTGATCATCTTCCAGCACAGCAGGCTGTTTTCTGAATGAGCAGCGCCTGTCAGTCACAGCTCAGGGACTTTTCGCTCCATTTCCTGATCTACTCATTCCCTGAGCTCTGATTGGCTTAAGAGCCGACGGAGCTCAAGCTGCCACCTGATTGGCTGTCGTCCAGGTAATGCCATTATCCTGCTGTGCTTCCTGTCAGGATCAGGTGCTATTTCTGTGCCACGCGTGCTAACGAGGTTCCACTTGCTAATTAGCAGCTAGGTGTGGGTCAGGTTCATCAGTGTGTGTGGGGGGGGGCTGCAGTAATTAGTCATGAACAGGATGACAAACACAGCAGCAGATCAACCTGCTGCAGCTCACAGCAGGTGTTGAGGAGGACCCTCAGCTACTACCAGCCCAAACCTCCAGAAGTGATGGAGCTGCAGCTCTGTGTTCACTTCAGCTTCATCAGCTGTAAATAAAAACCTGAGCRTCAGATATTTTACTGACAGACACCAGCACACAGAAATAATAAAACTCTCAGTTTCATTTATATTATCGTTCAAAAGGTCATTTAAGCTTCATTAAATGTGAAGATAGTCTATAAATGTATGTTTGATTCAAAAAATATGAATTTATACGATTTTTTTTTTCATTTAAGTCAATAAATAAAATGTTTTTGTTTCAAAGTAAAATATATATTTTCAGGCTTTTATTTTTAAAGGATGGTGTGAGCTGAGTCATTCTGCTAAACTGGATCAGCTCTGCTCCAACCTCTCGTCTGATTGGTCACATCTGATCACATGATCCTGTGTGTGTGTGTGTGTGTGTGTGTGTGTGTGTGTGTGTGTGTGTGTGTGTGTGTGTGTGTGTGTGTGTGTGTGTGTGTGTGTGTGTGCATTCTCGTGGGGACCGAAGTGACTCCAAATGCATGGTTTCATGAATAAAACCATTTTTCTGCTTCAAAGTAAAACCTGGGCTCYCCTCAGTCCTACAGCTCTTGGTCCATTAGAGTCCTGCTGTCACAGAACTGCAGGTCATGTGACCACAAACAGGAAGTGTGTTCAAACAGAAGGAAAAATAAAACTGTTAATAAAACCCTCCCACTGAAGCAGACAGGTTTTAAATKTAGATCCCTGGACCGAGCCAGGACTCCCGTCTGTCTTTCAGATTCTACTGAAGCTTTCTCCACAGCGTCTCCACTCCCAACATGCATCTGTGCACGCGTCTGGCTGTCGAGGCAGAGGACCGTGGGAGTCAGAGGGTCTGTAGGCCTGAAACCGTTCCTCCAATAATTCCAGTAATCTGATTACAAAACATCCTGGAGGTAAATTATCTGCCTCAAAGCTTCGTTAAAATAAAGACCGTTATAATCAGCGCACTGTCGTCCCGCCAGAATGTGATTTGTGTTACGCAATGCTACGATGTTAGCGCTTCCGCTAACAGTTACACCGTCGACACGTGCATGCTTGCTAAACGCTATACTTAGCTTTAGACGAAGATGAAGAGTGATGAAACAAAGAGCTCAGAAAACTACAAGTTATAAAAAAAAGCATGGGAACATTTTAAACTAAACAGAAAAGACGACAACGAGCAACGCTCTGCACGTCCACGATGTGTCTGCACCAAAACAAAAACACTGCTGCGTGTACTGAACACGTCCGTCCAGAGTTAACAACAGGTATTTGTTCACGTTCACTCCTAAATCTGTGATGATCTGTGTTCCAGANCTTTTAAGATTAGACTGAAGACTTTCCTTTTTCATAAATCCTATAGTTAGACTTAGGTTTCCTGAATTATTCTTCATTTCTGCTGCTATAGACTTAGACTGCTGGAGCACAAACTGAGCACATTCTGCTGTTGGACCACTAGGAGGAGCCAGAGAAGATTCACTTTTCATACATTTCGTCGATTMTTTTAACCGTGTAACTACATTTGTTCAGATCACAAATGCATACATATATAAACAATCTTAGAAAATTAAAAAGTAGAACTAAAGGATTTTGAGCTATTGTTCTTTCTTTTTTCCTCTCTCTTAAACAAACAAAAACAAAAACGTACCACTTCGGCACAAGTAAATAGTTTTTCAAGGAAATAATTCAAAGGTGCGAAGGAAGTTTAAATTTCCCAGCTTTTTAGCAGCAMGTAAACGCATCATTTACACAAGAACCTGGGCAGCGTGAAAACAGTCTAAAAACGATTTGTGTAACCGTAACCAGGTCTGTGCGTGGATGTAGTTGTGTCTGTGCGTATTTAAAGACTTGTGTGCGTAGGAGCCAGTTTGTGTGTGTAATTATCAGATTTGTGAGGTTGACGATAAAAAAATTGTGTGAAATTTTAATGCTTGTGTATTTGTGTGTGTGTGTGCTTTTATTTTGTATTCGTGACTTATTAATATTTGTGTGTACATTTAAATACACACTTACAAATACCCAAAGTTACGCACAAAATGTTTTTATGGGTTACAAACATGTTTTACACACACACAAACTTTATTAGTCTATTTTCTCTCCATATCTTTGCTTGTTTGCTTGTTTGTTTGTTTGTTTGTTTGTTTGTTTGTTTGTTTGTTTGTTTGTTTGTTTGTTTGTTTGTTTGATGACAGAACCAAACCAGAAATGCTGATGTTTACCTGCTGCAGCTGCTTCGATCTGGGTCATGTGAGACTCCAGCACCACAGGGTCCCTGGAGCTGTAGGGTCCCAGTTCAGGGTAGAAGCTGGAGGCCAGGTCTTCAGGAGGCGCGTGCCTGCCCTGCGCGTGGCCGGCTGCGACCTTTGGATCCCAGTGGGGCACCATGGGGTGGTCCCAGTGGATGTACTTGGTGTCCAGGCTGGGGGAGCCGTACCACAGGTAGTAGAAGATGTGCACGTCATAGAAGATGCTGTAGTCCCGGTCGGACCGGCTCAGGACCACCTTGGTGTCGCTGCTGGCGGCCTGGAAGGGGCCCGCCGAGGCCAGCGAGCCTTTCCCCTCCGCCGGCCGCCTCCTCTCCCACCGCTCCCCGGTCAGATCCATGCCGGGAGCCAGGTCCGAGAAGCCGTCGCTGGGTTTCAGAGTCCGGAGGCCCATCATGGTGCCGAAGATGAAGAGCGTGAAGAGGAAGAGGGCGACCAGAGCCCTCCTGCGCAGCCGCGTCATGGTCGCTGTCCGCGGTGCTGAGGAGCGGACCCTCTCACGGCAGCAGCGGGCCCCCTGCCCCAGCCATCGGGACGTGTCGAGGCAGAAAGCAGCAGATCATGGCCTCGGCCTGGGCGTCGGAGGAAAAGCAGAGCYCCTTCCTCCCCATCGGCCTGCAGAGGACAGAACGGCGCGTTTGTGTCTGGAAGGAGAGCAAGAGGGATGAATCCCGACCGGAACCGGATTCTATGACGGTCAATTAGTGCCGCAGATGGAGGATGAATGGGAGGAGCTTAGTGCCACACAGGAGGAGGAGCTTAATGTCTCAGGCTAAAAAGATCATTTAAAAGGTACTGAGACTGAGAAAAACCGATTCAGAACGGTGTTAAAGGGAAGATGTGTCTCAGTTAAGGGTGTTAGTTTGTGGAACTCTTGATAGTGAGATAAAACAGGCAAAAAAATAATATTAAAAAAAAGTAAAAATTACTTTGTTACAATATTTTTAAAGCAGTGTTTCCCAAAGTTGGGGTCGGGACCCAAAGTGGGGTCCCGAAACATCAAGGTGGGGTCCTGAAAAGATTTTCTGAATTAATTATATTT